GCCTATTGTGTGCTCAGCTTCTGAGATCTGCTCCTCTCAGCTTGTTCCTCAGTTGTATAGTATTCACTAATGCTGGCAATATATCTAATGGGACTTCTTTTCCTAACAAGCATTTTCCATAGGTAAATATTTCCAGCCTGTGCTTCTTTGTAGGCTAGGGCTATGATGATAGTGATGGAGAGAGAAGGGAAAATTATTTCTGTAAGCATTCTTCCTCTGTTGAATTGTGTTCTCGCTAGCCTTCCAAGAGTGGGGTTGGCACAATTGGATTGGGATAGAGACAAATGCATCTGTGCAGAGTAATCTGGGCATTTCATTCTCTTAGACCAGTGTTTCTCAACCTTGACAATTTTAAGGCATGTGGACTTCAACTCCCAGAATTCCACAGCTAGCAATGCTGGCTGTGGAATTCTGGGAGTTGAAGTCACATGCCTTAAAATTGTCAAGGCTGAGAAACACTGTCTTAGACTAAATCAACCTGCACAGAGGAAGTTGTGTGGGGAGAGTAATTCCTCATTTATCTCCCCCCCCCATTTAGAATTCAGATCAGCAGACTGAGCTTCAGGCAGGAGGAAAACATGATGAGGTTTCATGTGTATAAAGTGTGTATAAAGCGAGGAGAGATTCAGAATTATATTCCCTGAGGGAGGAACAGAAGGAATGAATCTGTCTTATTTTTTTCTATGAGAAGAATAGGTATTTAAGTAGCATTATAACTGCTGTTTTTGCTGCGAAAGACTGATGTCTTTTGGAGAACAAGAGTTCTTGCCTCCCCCCCATATTTATTTAAGATCACTACCTAAAGCAATTTTGTCTCTTACCTCTCTGTGTTCACCGCTCCTCTTCCTAATAATTGCAAGTTCTCACAATATTTTAATCCTAAATTTGGGCTAATGAAATACCGAAAGAAGCCCACTCCTTGATTGAGAGCCTGGGAGTGGTTACTGGCCAGTGGTGGATGCTTAGGGTCCTCCATCCAGAGTGAGAGTCAAATGGAGGGGTTGGATGAGTCGGCCCTCCTGCAGTGGGGCAACGAGAAGGACCAGCTTAGCAGGGAGGATACTGTGCATATTGGGGGGGAGTGGAGAGGTAGGAGCCATGTTGGTGCTGAAACCTTGAGCTAAAGTACTCTGGGGGTTCCCTTCCTCATCTGTCTCCCAAGGATGTCTGGAGGAATGAATGAGAGTGGCTGGAGGGGGATGGCAAAGCTCTTTGCTCTGTCAGGGTGGGAGGGGAAAGATCACCTCTGGAGACTGAGGGTGGGACAATGCATAAAGGTGGTGACAGGCATGGGTTTCTATGAGAGCCAAAGGGCAGGCTGTTAAAGGGAAAGATCCCCCCAATGTTTGGAACTGGTGGATGGAGAACCCTCTCAATCATAAAATTTAGGTAGCCATGGTCTAGGAGAAGAGCCTTTTCTGCTGTGATTCCTGCACTTTGGAACAAGGTAAGATTGACACCCATCCTTTTGGCCTTTGAAAGGGTGAAGACCTGGCTCTGCCAAATGATCTGGGGTCCCAATAGGGGGTGCATCATTCTGAAGGTGACCAAACAGACCAAAATAAAATCCCACCTCCCTCTCAGGTGCATCTTGTTTCCTTCCACCGGATCTTTGTCAATTTTAAATTATTTCGATGTTACTATTTACGACTTCAATATTTTAACTTTTTATTGGTTTTTAATGATTGTTAGATGCCTAGAGCCGCCTCCAGGAGAGATGGGCAGCTTAGACATTGAATAAATAAATAAATTCAAATCGCATGCTTGGCTAAAAGAAATCACATTACAAAGGGAAGCTGGGTTGCCATAATACATATAATATTGGGTGGTTTACTTTTAACTGAGAAAACTAATAGTTAATGGAAATTCTTCCAGTAGCTTACTGTCACAAATCCTGTTTCAGGATTTTGAAATAATCAGTTTGGTTTATAGTCTGTAGTTCCTTATAAAAAGGGCTCAGCTCTGAAGAGTGAAAATTGTGGAGGGCAACTCTCTTTTTTCATTGGATGAATCCCAAGCCTGTTCTTTGGACTCAGAGAAACGCATCTACCTAGGATGCATGGGACAAGCTGCAAGGTCCAGAATAGAGGCTCCTATTGGAGAATGACCAGGGACTGCTTCTGTCCCCACAGAGCTGCTGCAATAAGCTTATGAATGTTCTTGGGACTGCAAGGTTGAGTTCTGTTTTTTAATGATATTTTCTAATTCTTTTCACCTAACTTTATAACAGACTTTCTACTGTACTGCAAATATAATGTCACCGCAAACAGCAAAATGGGCGTTATATTAAACAAACAAACAAACAAACAACTAATTAAATAATCTTTGTTAACCTGATCTCTTTTCCTAGGAACATCAGTTAAATGATGTAATAACTATTCAACTTCTGTGTTGAGTTCATGATGATTCATCTCTAACTATGATGCCTACGTGATCCTCTGTATGTTCCATTAGCAATATTAGTGCATCCACTGCATGGTAATATACTTTGTACTTCATTACATAAAGAGTTTACAAATCATCCATCCAAACAAAAATTCTATAAGTTTTGATGATGATGATGCTATCCGTTCAAGCCCTTAACAACTACTATATTTGGATTTTTTTCCTTATTCAGTAACTTCTTACAGTTGACTTCTTTAATATGTTTGTTTTTTTCCATACTTCCAGTGTTATAATAGGCTTAATTGTACAGTTCCATTCTTTTACAGTTTGTTCTGCTTAGTTCAGCCTTTGAAGAGCTATAGGATTTTTCCCTCTGAAAGTAGCGTAAGCCATACCAAGGAAAATCATGCAACCTTGAAATAATCTTCATGGTAATTTTCAACAAGGACACCCATTCACTTGCGGTATTTTGTGCATTTTATTTGGCATGTGTTGAACCTTAATTCAAGTTACTGTACTTTCTTAGGGAGATATTCTATAGCTTGGGAGATATACAAGGGAAGATTCCCTCTGTCTATCCAAGTAGTAGGCCATCTGGCAGAGATGTGTCTTGATAAAGATCTCTGCTGATCTGAGGAATTAGAGAGCTTTGTAGTGGTAAAAGCAGTTCCTTAGGTCAGGGGTCCCCAACCCCTGGTCCATGGACCAGTACCAGTCCATGTAATGCCAGCAACCGGTCCACACAAACAAACAAAGCCCCATCAGTGGGATGCAGGCAGCACACACCACCACGCACTCTCCGATCCGCGGAAAAACCTTTCTCCATGGAATCATCCCTGGTGCCCAAAAGGGTGGGGAACTCTGCCTTAGATAATTGGGCTCTAAGCCATTTAAGATTTCAAAAGTCAACAGAAGCATTTTAAACTGTGACCAATAAGCAAATGGCAGCCAGTGTGATCTTTCAATATAGGCAATATATGATGCCTGTCCCTTGCATTCTGAACATGCCAGGTGTCACTGTTTGCACCAACTGAGTGCATGAGAAGTGTGGTGGTGTGAATAACCATTGCTGAAATCAGGAACAGTTCACAATTGGTGCACTGTCAAGCCCCTGGGCACTACCTGTAATTGTGCACACATTTTGGTTTTTACAGCCACCACTTGCAAACGCGGCGACCTTTAGGGATCAAAGAACATTTCCACACACCGTCTTTTGAAATAATACCTGAAGTGTGTTCTGTGGCTTCTCCTTCTGTCTCAGCATTCAAGAAATCAATGTGCCTCTTCTAAACACATTGCTAAACATTATTGTTCAATCTAGGATACATATGGGGTTGTTGTACTCATTTATCTCTAGTTACCGGTAGATAAACTTGTTGGCTGATAGTACTTTACTATATCTTTGCAATGATGCGGGTTGTGATTTTCTTGATGCCTCCTAATAAACGGCTATCAAAAATGTTTTTGAGCCAGCATTTTTAGGGAACAAATTAGCATATTTAAATGTGTATAGGCATGTACAGTGTGTTCCCAGCAGCCTCGCCTTTGTGCATATTTTGTAGAGCTACAGGGAATATATTTTTGCTTATTAACATGAGCTATTAAGAATATAAAGAATTGGGACTAAGATGGCCTCTTTTCTTCTCAAATATACCCATCTTGTCTTTCTTTTCCCCTAGAATACAGGTTAACTCTGGAAAGCTATAGATAGACCTCCCCTATTTTGGCTGCTGCTGATTGCACGCCCTCCCTTCTCCTCTGCTGGAGACAGTGTCGAGGACAATTATCCAAGCTGCATAAAAACTGTTTCCCTGTAATGAGTTGAACTCCTTGTACTGTGACAAACTGCCCAGCTGCTCTGACTCCATCCCTTCCTTTTTCTACTTCCATCTGCACCTTTTCCATTCCATTTTTTGGGGGGGGGGGGTGTGATTCTTTTTCTCTCTCCCCCTTTTGCATCTCTGCTATTCAGAGAGGAAAGGGATGAACAGTCCAGGCAAGGAGTTAAATATATAAAACAGAGTCTTTTGTCCTCCTAACGTCATACTACATGTGGCTGGGGTTTTTCATGATGAGAGCATACTATTTGTTCTGAGGGAGTCCTGGTGGTGTCCTTGCCCTTTAGCATGCCATGGCTCAGCCCATACCAAGAAAGCTCACAGAGGCTTGTAAAATGGAGGATCCAAGCAGAAATTGAACAGCTGTTAAGCATCAGGTGTTGAGGGGCAGGGCTTGTGTCCACTTCTTTTTGCTGCATATTTTTGAATACCCTTAAGGAATATGTCAGGGGGACTGGAAATACTCTAACCAAACATTTAAAAGTCTGTACATGCTGTAGGTGTCAGCTCCTACGGATAGGTTTTTGGGGATAATGCAGGTGCAGTGGAGGCATTGCAAACAAGGACATTGACCTACGGTTCTTTTAGTAGGGGAGAGGCCTGTTTTTTTTTCTGAAATATGCTTTTTATCTTAATCATCCAATTCAGGAAGCTTCCTGATTACCATTATATCTCAAAGACTTGGAAGAGGATATATGGAAGGATGCAGTATACAATTTGGAGAAAAGGTTTTAAGCAAAGTTTCAGAGTCCCCCCCCCCTTCTTTTCTCTTTGCAGGTGCATCTGCGTTCTGCAGAACGTCTCCGAGATTTATGCTGTGCCAACCGAGGCACCTTCATCAAAGTAGGACAGCATCTGGGGGCTCTTGATTACCTCTTGCCTGAGGAATACACCCGCACCCTCAAGATTTTGCACAGCCAAGCTCCTCAGAGCAGCAGGCAGGAAATCGAGCAAGTGATCCAGGAGGACCTAGGCAAAGGGGTACGTCAGGCAATTGGCCTTTCTTGGCTGTCATTCAAGCAAGACAGCAGAATGTAGTTTGATTAGTCTTAGGGGCCTGCTTAGTGGTTTTCTATTAAAAAGACACAGTTATATACATAACAGTTATACATTTTCTGCTTCTTTTCACTCCCTGCAGGTTACAAGTGCTTTCCTCAACACAAAATAGTACTTCTGCTACAGAAATACTCCCATATTGGTGTGTGTGTGTTTGTGTGTGTGTGTGTGTGTGTTTTCTCTTATTTTTTTGCAGTGCACAAAATGAACTATTGGGTCTTTTAAAAAGCTGGCTCTTTTTTCTAGTTCTCTTGTCTGTTTTGATTGCTTTGTATCATGTTCAGTGGGTGATTGTCACAGAAAATCTGTTAAAGCTTGCACAATTGTCAGTGACAGGATAAACTGACTGCATTATTTTGTATATATTAATTTAGTGGGTTCCGCCCCCCTCCCCTAACATTCAATTCAGGAGGTCAGGGTGACATGTCTTATTAAGGCTAGCTGTAGGAGTTTTCTGTTCAAGACCGACAGTATTTACTGCAAACAGTGCTATTAAAGTCTTTATTATAAGAGTCCAGTTAGTTCAAAAGAATCCAGGAGCGAATTGCTGAATCTGGAATGTAGAGTAGATGAGTGGCATAAATAGAACAAAAAAGGAAAGATCTGTCAGGAATCTAATTACCTGATAAGACTGATGCCAATTTGGGGTCACATTGTGTCCTTAAGTTAAATCCAAAGAAGTGATCTGATTGGCAGCAATTTTAAAACTGTCTCACAGTGAATTGAATGCCAAGCCTAGTTCATATGCTAAAGAATTTGCCTAATGCAGTTGTGGGACAAGTGAGGTCTAATGGTTAAAGTGCTGATCTAAAAACCAGGGCACTGTGACTTCTACTCCCATCTTAGACCTGAAAGCTGGCTGGATGACTTTGGGTCAATCATTCTCTCTCAGCCTAACTCATCTCACAGGATTGTGGTGGTGGGGAAAATAAGAGGAAGAAGGAGTATTAGATTTCTTTGGTACCTTGAGTTATTTTAAGTAATAATGACAGAATAAAAAAACAACCCAGGAGTGCTAAGATATAGAGGCATAGGAGGATCATTAGGAGATATACAAAAGGTAGGCAAAACAATCTGACACACTGCAATGCAGTAAAAATGTTCTGGCCTGGCTAATCATGGCAGGCCTTCTGCCTAATTAGCACAGAATGGCTTGTGGCCCTTTAACACTGAGCTGCCATGTTTTTGGGTTTTTTTTGCTGCAGTTAAGTCTCTGACTGAGAGTAAGTCGAATCCCAGAAGCAACTACATTAGAAAGGGACATAGTTGCAACAAAGCAGGATTCAGAGACACGTTTATTACTCCTATCATATCATCATCATGACCATATTATCTCCCCTTTCCAAGTGTTCTAGAAGTCCTTTAATACATGGTTTTGATCTCAGGCCTGGGGTTAAGGTGCACGTGGAGCTCCTGTCATTTTTTTTTGTTAATGTTATTGTTGTCCAGGCAGTTATGTTTTGTTATATTTTTAATTGTGTTATACTTATGTGTATGATATTGTATAAACTGCACAGATTCTTTTTTGAATTAGACGGTCTTCACAAATGTAGTAAATAAATAAATTAATATAGTGCAGACAGAACAGGTCTCCAAAATATTCACTAAGGAAAACACTTTGGCTGAAGTGATTTTCATATCTAGCAGCTCATAAAATTTAAGACAGATTTCTCATAGACATTTGGACATTTGACAAGCATGCCTGTTTTGCTCAATCACTGTCAATTCAGATTCCTGACTTTCAATGTTTGGAAAGTTCTTCTGCTGAGAGAAATTCATCTTTTTGGAAAGTTCTTTCACTTTTTGTACCCTTGACTTAGAACTTATAAGCAGAAGATCATAGAAATAGCTCTGTTGGTTCTGGCCAAACTTATCATAGTCCAAATTTTTGTTTCTTAAATGATCAACAGTCTCCCATCACTGTTTCCTTGCAAATAGTATTATGTTGTCTGTAACCAAGAGGTAACATTGGGTCTTCAAGCCCAATAGTCCTCAATAAGCCTGCCCTCCAGAAACTAATCCCTGTTTCAGTCATGAAGTAAGTGGATATCACTACACCTTGTGGTAACAAGTCCCACAGATTAATTATATATTGTGTGAAGAATTTCTTTCTGCTGCCTCTTCTAAACCTATTTCCAGAGATAGAAAAACTTTTCCATATCTACGTGTTCTAAGCATGCATGATTTTATACACCTCAGTCATGTCCCAGTCTCAATTCTAAATTAAACTCCCCAAAGTTCTAGTTCTTTTTCCAGAGAAAGTGTTCTAGACCCTGATCAAATTGGTTGCCATCTTCTGCACAGGCCTCATCTGATCTCAGTTTTGTCAAATGACTCCTATCGAACTCTGCACCCCATCAGAAAATAGCAAATACAAATGAAACTGTAGACTCATAAAACATGGGAGCAGCAGTCGGGCAACACATATTATCTATGACAGAGCCATAGAGCTTTCTTCCCTTTGAAGAGCAGCTTTAGCTAAAAGCAGCAGAAAGGTTGTTGAAAGAAAGCTGTTCATGGGCAGTTTGTACTGCTTCTCACTGCATTTTACCATTTCCAGATAAGCACTGTCAGCCCTTTACATTTGCACGCTCCTTAATTAACCCCTAAGTGAAAAATAAATAAATCTCTGTAATAACAACATAAATCGTTGCTGCCTTTCACACTGAGGCTATTTGGTATAAAAAAAGCTGTGTCATTGTTAACTCTTTGGAATTGGGAATTACATTGACTTTCAGGCTCTCTTTGCTTCCTCTTTCTTCACTGATGGTCATATTCCAAGTCTTTAATACAGTTTAGGAAAGGTTGTACATAAACTGGCAGCAGGAATAACTAAAGAGAACCAGAGAAAGTGCCCAAACTTGGAGGTGTTTTGTATATTTGGAGGAATACAATTTCGATGGCGATTAGAAGACATTTGTGTGCACTGAATTCATGCAATGAATCTCTGTCATACAAATGAAACTTCATTGAGTGGCTATATCTCATAATATATAACTCTCATATAAGTCAACCATGTTCTAGCCCTAATGCTGGGCAAACTTAGCCTATGTAGTTAGTTTCTGGTTTAGTTGTCGTACAACTCAAGAAATTAAGTTATTTGTGTAAACCTGTAAGCTGCCCAGAGTTGGCCATGGATAAGTGAATCATGGATAAATATGGTGTCTACACACAACTTATATTATTCTGGCTACCCCCCTAAATGACTTCCATCTTAACCTATGCTGTGCATAAAGAAAGCATGCAGCATTTATTTAGCTGTTTGGCTCTGCTCATAGGCCTTTGACTGAACATAATTTTTGTGACAGGGACCTTTTTCTTCTGGGATGAATACATTTTCAGCTGCCAGTGAGCTATCCCAGTCTTTTTCAGCATTTCAAGAACCAAAAAGAGCCCTCCATGCCTCATTAATTCCCAGTGAGGAAGCCTGAATCTCTTCTCAGCCACATAATTTCTTCTTAGCATTCCTTCGCTCTCATGGTAAGTGCCAGGTAGACATTTAGTTTTAAAGAGATGGAAAGAAAACAATAAAAGATCAGGAAGAAAATAAATGGGAAAGAATGAATAAGCAAAAAGAGGCAAGGCAAAAAGGAGATGGATTATGGTTCTGAATTGTTATAAGCTGAGATGACTTTGGTATTTCTCTGACAGATTTTGTTTGGAAGATGAAATACAGAGTATTTCCTATCAGTTGATCATTGAATACACCTCAATAATGTTTTTTTTTAATAATCAATAATCTGGATCATAAAATATTTCAATACTCGTCAATGATAGTTTTTTGGGGGGGATAGTCTGGATCATAAATTATTTCAGAAATATAGTTTGAATACCTGCTTGGCACATGATATTAAATTTGCCATTGTTGATGGACTCAGTTCCCTGAAAATAACTGGCTGTATCTCCTAGAGTTTTGATTTTATTTCCAGTGTTTTTAACACCTACAAATAGAATATATTTTTTTGCTGGAAAGCTGAAGTGTTTCTAGGTGGGAATATCAAAGACTGAATGCCTGGTGCTTTAACCACTAGACCATACTGGCTCATCATCATCATGACAATAGCACCATAAGGTATAACAAAAATAAAGCCATAAGTTCAACAATAAATCTCAACATTCAGAGTAAGCCCTTCCTCTAGACTAGAGTTAGATAGAGAAGCCAGATTAGGGATGCTTTTCAAAATGAGCAAACTTTTATACAAATATAGGAGTAGATATTAAGGAGCAACTTTTTGGCTCAAAATTTTATTCATAAAAAAACCAGTTCCTGATTTTGATGTGAATGCAAATCTTCATTCTTATCAAAGATTCTCTCCACCCAATTCAATAAAGCATGAATAGGTATAATATTCTAGTTGGGGGATAATGGGAGTTGGTGTGAAATTCATCTAGAGCAGAGTTCCCCAACCTTTCCGGCTTGGTGGCCCAGAAGGAAAGAGAGCAGCAGGGAAATGTGTACCTGCGCGGGCCGCATGCACATGCGCAAATGGGCTAGTGAGGTCTGGCAGGTTTTAGGACTTGGGAGCTGGAGTTAAAATTATCTTGCCGAAACTGTGGTTCGACACCTTCAGTTGGAGACTGGGTTTGTCCATTTTCTTTCTTAACCAGTGAAGAAGTTCCTGAGACAAAGAGAAAATGATAAGAAATCTACTTCTGGAACCTTATTGGAAGGAATGAAAGATCAAGTTGTTTAAAAATAATATAAAGTGACCAGGGTTAAAATATAGATGTTGTAGTTTGTGGTAGTTATTAATGAAACTTTTTTTTTTTTAAAAAAATAGTGCTGAATGACAAAATTTAAAGATTTGTTTATAAATAACAGATAAGATATGGGGAAAGATTTCTTTTGCTTTATTTTTTTTAGAAAAAATATTAAGTTGGAATATAAAATGGAGTTATTTAAGGTTAAAATGTATATAATGTAT